TAACAAATGTAAATGTGTTTTACTGTAGGCTGTGTGTTGTTCTGATCATTTGCACTGCTGCCCAGAGGGCACAACATGTGACCTTGTCCATAGTATGTGTCTGTCAGCCAATGGCGTTACTGAAATGGCCACTAAGATCCCGGCAGTCACTGCCCTGAAGGCTAGAGGTGAAATTTTATCTTTGTGCAATGAAAAGTTTTTCAGTTTGTGTTTGTGAGTGTGGTGAAATGTAAAATTGTGCTTACTTGGATCAATATAGAATATGCATCAATCCATCTATTTATCGCTCTTTCTGTCTTCAGAGAAACCAGTTCCCTGTAATGAAACAGTAGCGTGTGCTAGCGGAACCACCTGCTGTAAGACAGAAGGCGGCACCTGGGCCTGCTGTCCTTTACCAAAGGTATTCGGCACTGCAGAAAGTTGGAGTGTCAAATTTACCATTTTTATTGCTTCAAAATATTGCAACAAACAGTTTCAAGTAATGCGAAGGCAGTCTATGATGTCTTTGTGTCTTCTGACCTCCAGGCAGTGTGTTGTGAGGACCATGCCCACTGCTGTCCAAAAGACACAGTGTGTAACCTCCCAGAGGGCACCTGTGATGACCCTGCTGACCTTTCAGTGTCTGTACCCTGGGTGACAAAGGTCCCTACCTTTACAATAGCTCCATCCAATCAGAAATGTGACGAGACCTCTTCGTGCCCGGATGATTCCACCTGCTGCAAACTCCCAACTGGAAAATGGGGGTGCTGCCCAATGCCAATGGTACTTTTCTCCTTTTCTAATTTTAAAATCTGAAGATTATATATACACGTGTGTGTGTGTGTGTGTATATATGTATAACACTACAAAATAATTAGAAGTAAAATCAATTAAAATATAAAATGTTATATGTGTATTTTATATATATATACGTATGTGTATTATATATTATAATACACATATTGTATAAAATGTATTTATATTTTATTTATTTTAAAATAAATATAATGTAAACATATAAATTCAATTAAAATAATAGATGATAAATAAAATGACAAATAAATATAAATTAAAAGGAAAATAAATAAAAATATAAAATGCATATATTTATTTAAATTATAAACCGCATTTATTTAAATAAATATTTATTCATTTTACATTAATTTACCTAAACTTCTAGGCAGTGTGTTGTGAGGACCATCTCCACTGTTGTCCCCACGATACTGTGTGTAATCTGGCCGCCAGCTCTTGTGACAGTGCCAACGATCAGGGTCTCCGTTTCTCTGTGCCTTTGGTGAAGAAGATCGATGCAGTGACCCTGCCATCGCAGAACCAAAACTGTGACGAGACATCGCTGTGTCCAACTGGGACGACCTGCTGTAGCCTAACCTCAGGGGCATGGGCCTGCTGTCCTATGCCACAGGTAAACACACATTTAGCAACAAGAGTTTAGGCCTAAAGCTCTAAAGCACAGGTGTACACACATGCTTGCACTTGTAATGACATATAATGCTGTCTAGGCTGCTTACTATGTTGTGTTAATTATGACAGCATTGCATGCATCCTTTACAGAGAATGCAATTCCATAATGCTTTATGAATAAATGTACATATTTCATGTGTACACTGAATATAAAGTATAGTATAGATAAAAAATATTTTTTATAAAATTAATAGCATCACATTAAATATAATGCATATCAATCTTTTAACATTATATTTATTTGTAATAAATTTCACAGATTTAAATGTTAAATTGAAAGAAATATTTATGTGCTATTTGTTTTTATGCTTATTCTTACACCAAACTCTATTGGAATCTCTATTAAATTTCTGCCAATGTGGATAATTTAATATTGTAGGCCGTGTGCTGTGCCGATCAGGAGCACTGCTGTCCACAGGGATACAAGTGTGACTTGGCTCAAAATACCTGTGTACGTCCTGGCCTTCCCAGCATGCCCTGGTTCAGGAAGGAGTCTGCACTGAGCGTGAGCCAGCAGTCTGATGATAATACTCCAGAACCGGCAGATCCAGTGGACAGACACATGTGTGACGCTCACACCAGCTGTCCAAGAGACGACACCTGCTGCTTTATGGGTAATCTCGGCAAGTGGGGCTGCTGTCCACTGCCTAAGGTTAGATATGCTATATTAATCCATTCACTTATTCACTATTTAATACAATGTAAATGCCACATGTGAGCCTTAAATGACCATAAATGAGTCAACTCAGCTACAAATAGATAATTCACACATATAGTATATAGCAGTAGATAAAGTATGTTCAAATAGCTTAAAATGTATATTTTCAAATATGTGCAATAAATACATGCACATACATCTATACTGTGGTAGATTATTGATGACATAGAAGGATATGTGTGCCGTTTTGGGTCGGTGTGGTCATTGTTCTCATATAGACACTATATAAATAGACTATAATATTTATTCATTTTAGTTATTTAAAAAAATTGTTTATTTAATCATTTACTTTTTATTTAATTTGAGTTATTTTATAGTTGTTAGTCATTTTGATTTATTTTTCATTGTTTATTTGTTTATTTTTGTTTGTTTTATTTAATTTGTTAACATTTATTTTATATCTATGTAATTTGTATATATAGTTGTCATTTATTTGGTAGTTTTATTTAAAATTTTAGTCATTTGTATTTTTTATTTCATTTATTTTATTTTATTTTAGTAATTTAATTTCTTTAATAGTTATTAGTTATTTTGTTTGTGTATTTATTTTACTTTGATTAAAATGCAAAATAATGTTTAATTTTAAGATAACTGCTGACAAACGTGCAACATAATGAAACTTACTAGAATTTTTTTATTGTTGCCTATTTTGCACTGTTTTCCATACAAACCAATTGCATTCTGTATATAGTACTCCATTATGAATGTAGTGAAGGAATTCATTCTCACACTATATCATCTCCTCTTTTTAAGGCGGTGTGTTGTAAGGACGGAGATCACTGTTGCCCTAGCGGCTACACGTGTAACGAGAAGAAAACGTCCTGCATTAAAGCCGACCATGAGATCCCCTGGTACACAAAACAAGAGGCCAGGGTCACAAAGGGGTCAGAGGTGTTGCCCGGACACAAAGATGTGAAGTGCGATTCAACGACGAGCTGTGCGTCTGGTTCTACCTGTTGTAAATTATCCACAGGGCAGTGGGGATGTTGTCCTCTTGTCAAGGTAAGTCTTTTTGGCCCGGTTTACACCAGGTATTAAGATGCGTTTTGCTCGATCCGATCACAAGTGGACGACTCTAAATACAGGTGTAAACAGGGACTAAAACATTTTGAGATTTACCACTTTACACCACTTCCAGAGGTAGTCAAAAATGCATTGCTTTCGTAGTGTAAACGCTCATGCGGTCGAATGTGTTTGAACACCCACAAAAGAACTCTCCGCCTACTGATCTAATGCGTGAACATTATGGGAATGTTTTTCCATCTGACTTTGAATTTAGTTTCGAGTACTCTGAGCACCACAGGGTTTGTTTTCATGTGTTTTGCATTCTTCTGATGTTCTTTATGCGGGTGTGTTTGTGTGCTCTTCACTGATTGGGTGTATTGTCTCTCTGCAGGCTGTGTGCTGTGAGGACCACGAGCACTGCTGCCCACAGGGCTACACCTGCAACCTCGAATTTGGAACCTGCGTTAAACCTTCCGACGCGCGCAGTGTTGCTCTGACACTATTACAAACACACACCAACGCACATTTAGAAGAGGAGGTGTTGTGTGACGAATCAACGCGCTGCTCAGAGACACAGACCTGCTGTAGACTATCAGACTCCACATGGGCTTGCTGTCCATATAAAGAGGTATGAATCCCAATGATTGTTTTTCTTTAATGTCTAATATTATTAATGCTGTTTGCTAAAAGAAGCATCACTATCACTGTTACTTTAATATATTTTTGTTTACTGAAATAAATGTTTATTTAGCAATTAACTGTTTTTATTTGTATTTTATTCAAAAAAAATTTTTACGTTTACAGAAATTTAATTTATTTATTGTTATTTGTTAATTTTGCATTTATTTGTTTACTTATTTTGTTTGACATTTATTTGTTGTTTATTTATACTTTATTTATTTGGTTATTAATTATTATTTATTATTTTTTTAATTTTTTTATTTATTGATTAAAAAAATATTTATGTAATTCATTTGCTTTCCCAAATTTTATTTCAGTATTAATTTTAATATTTATATATACATAAAACATTTTTTATTGTTTACTGCAATTTGTTTTAATTATTTTTGTCTTTACTAAACCAAATTTGGTAAAGACAAAAATAATTCAATAAAACAAATAAACAAATGTATGTATATATAAATATTAAAACTCAAATTAATACTGAAATAAAATTTGGGAAAGCAAATAAATTGCATAAATAAAATAAATTAACAAATTTCAGTAAACACAATAAATGATGATAACCAAATAAAATTATTTAATTGTGTATTGTTTACCGAAATTGATATGTTTATTTATATTTTTGTTGGTTAATTTTTTATTTATTTATTTTATTCAGTTATTTATATTGTGGGGGTGGTTGAGTAGAGATTCCCTGATATGATTGTAAAGCGCTTTGGGTATACAGTAGTACATATGAAAAGCGCTATATAAATGCCTGCCTTCATTCATTCATATTTTATTCAGTTATATATATATATATATATATATATATTTGCTAGTTTTTTTTTGCATGTATTTGTTGTTTTTGTTTTTTATTTGTTTTTTATTTTGTTTGTTTGAAATGTATTTGATTTATTCATATTTTATCAATTTGTTTATTTATTTTTATTTATTGTGTTTACTGAAATTTGCATGCATGCATAAAGTAAAATCAGCACTACTGATAGCTATCTTAACTAAAGTATGCAAACATTTGACAGATGTTTCTCTCTCTTTTTGTAGGCAGTGTGCTGTAAAGACATGAAGCACTGTTGCCCTATGGGATACAAATGTGACTCGGAAGTGCAAAGTTGCACTAAACCATCCACAGCCACGTGGTGGGATAATTCTCTTTAAGTGAAAAACACATAAACTGACACTGGATAGCACACACACACACACACACACACACACACACACACACACACACACACACACACACACACACACACACACACACACACGTACTCGCATGTTGCATAAAGCATTGCTTTCTAAGATGCCCTCTTTAGACAAGGGACTATGGATCATGTTTTTTCTTTAATATTTAGTTTTTACCAGAATAAAAACATACCAAGCCTTATGCTTAAGCAGGATATAGACTTTTTATTCTTTGATTTAAATCCATTTTTAAGGGAACAACAAAACTGACAACAAAACCAATGCACATTTTCAATGTTATTATTTCACTTTCAAGCCTCAAGTTCTGCATATTTCCCATTTCCTTAAGATATCAGAGTGGCTGTAGAAGTGATTTTACAAGACGTTAGAAATAATTAGTGGCATATAAGCCAAGTAAATGATAACTTACTTAAAGTCAATCGTGTGCGTTGTTTGAGGATGTTGATTTTATGCAATTTAAATTGTATTGCTGATTACCACACGATCTAAGAACAGATATGACCGTGAAGTGAGAAAAGTTACTGAGAATCTAAACCGAATGTATCAGCAGTGAACTAAACCTAAAACTAAAGTTCCAATGCATCAACCACAAAAGAAACCTCACAGTGATTTTAATCTGTAAAATGTGTTCCAGAATTGCAACTGCAGTTGGGACGTGATAAGAATGGATGTCGCCAAGCATTTAACCCTATATTTTACTTAGAGGCTGTTACATGCTAGGGTTAACTCAACTTTGTCAAGGAGAATTATCAGCTTTTTACATTGTAGGTTTCTTTTCAAATGTTCCAAGTTGTCCGTGTGGATTTTTAAAAGTTTTACAAATGCTTGAAATTGTTTATTCAAATGCAAGTGTCATTCTCAACATTTCACTATAGCTAATTTTGAGATTTGTCTTTTTTCTTTTTCTTTCTTATTTTAAAATGTACCGAAGGGTCAAATCAATTTGCTTGCTGATTACCTGTGATACAATGAGGTTGATTTGTTTTTTTGAGATTGTTCTTTTTTTTTCTCAGTTATTTGTTGAAGTGGATTTGATTTTGGTTAATTATACCAGAAAAATAAAAACACTGAAATTAAATACTTTTAAAATAGATTGCACGTTGACTCATTTATGTCTCATCAGACTTGTTTTGATAAACTCTGTCTTGTTTCCATGGTGCATGTTGGCAGATCCATCTCAGCAATGTGATTGAATTTTTACCGGTATTGGAATAGGCATGTAAATGCCTTTAACCAATCAGAGAGGCTGACACCGTTATTCCAAATAGCTGTTGCTTGATGGACTCATGTTTCACAGCTTGCGTTCTGCGTGTGTTTGAGGTCGCACTAAGACCGGCTAAAACCATAGACAGTATAAGAAGGCTAAAACACTGTTACCATTCAGCTGAAGCCATACAAGAGCTGAAAACAATATTCATCATCGGCCAAGTGTGTTTGACGAAGGAAGAAACTTAAGTTTGCTGATTTCCAGAACCCTGTCCTGGCTGATTCTTCTGGTATGTTGACATTTTTTTTGTCACAGCTAGAGAACTTACACAACACTTGACCGGGACAACTTTAGTATACTGGTGTAAGCTGAATTTAAGCAAGTGAGTTTGTAAAAATAGATTACCGCTAAATCAAAATGCATGTGCAGGACCATTCAAAAGTTTGAAGTTGGTAAGATTTATTCCTGTAATGACTCATGCTCACCAAGGCTGCATTTAATTAAAAACAGATATATTGTGAACTATTACAATTCAAAATAACTGTTTTTATTGTAATATATTTTAAAATGTAATTTATTCCTGTGATGCAAAGCTGAATTTTCAGGATTATAACTCCAGTCTTCAGTGTCACTTCCTTCTAATATGCTGATTTACTGCTCAAAAAAAAAAAATCTGATTGTTGAAAACAGTTGTGCTGCTTCATATTTTTAATGCATTTTCTCAGGATTCTTTGATTAATAGAAAGTTTAAATTTACTAATCTTTTTAATGTGTTCTTGGTGAATAAATCTGAAAATAATCCTAACTCACCCCATACTGTCTCTTGTAATTTTTGTATAACTCCTGTCCTGGTTATGTGTGTTAATTATGGAGCTGATAGGTGTGAATGCTGTACGTAATGAAGGCATTCTGCGCATGTGTGATTCTGTTGAGGTGTCGAATGAACCAAATCACTGGGTGAAAGTTTGACTATGCAGCAAACACTAAGTGGAAGTAAAGAATTCAATGGAGATGGTAAAGAGACTGACATAAATTGCAAGAATGTTGGGATGTTGATAAATGATCCGGTGGGAGAAAGTGTGAAAGGGAGAGACTGGGACAGCTGAAGGGAAGCGAGAGACTTCAAACGTGCCAAAATGTCAATGCTATTAATACACCTCAGCAACTGCTCTCCAATGAACACTCGACCTGAGAGAGTGTTTGTATATCAGGAAGTGTGAAGAAAGTGATGGTAAAAACAGTTATCTTACTTATCTTACTTTATTTTTTTGCATTATTTTTTTAGTTGAGGCGACAGAGGAATGGCCATACCGAGCATGTCTCGCTCCATCAGGCTTACAGATGTTTCTACACTGCTTTATCTGGATGAAGGGACCTCGACGTCAGGCACGGAGTGTGGAGAGGAGTCTGATCTTCAGCCAAGAGCTTTAAAGGAGCCTCAGACAGTGCGTGTAGAAGACACTAGAATATCAAACATCATGCCGAAGGGTGAGAGAGGACAGTCACTTTAAAGGTTAATGGGTTCAAGAGCGGATGTCAACCATTTTTTAGACAGAACGGGATGTTATATTCTTATAAATAAACTTTCTTCCAAGAAGAACCATCTAGTAGTGTTGTAGTACTCGAGTACCGGTCATTTTATTAAAGGTCTTGTCTCGGTCTCGACCGTATTTGTAGGCCTACTCGTTGTCTCATTCTCAGAGGGTACATTTCCACAGACGACAACGTTTCCAAAGTGTTCTTGCAAATAAACAGTACAAATAATTTGTACTTGAAAACAAAAAACTTTGTTCATTTATGTACTATTTTAGTATTTAATAATATTTTGAATGAGCTTTTTATATATTTATTGTTCATTTTATTTGAAGTTTTATTAATTTACTCATGTACTTTTTAATTTTTTTAAATTCCCATTTTAGTTGTATTAATTTTAGTACTTAAATGAAATTTTATTTCGACAACTTACTGAAATAAGTTTGTTTTTCTTCTAATATTTTATTTTAGCTTAATTTCAGTTAATGTTAATTATTTAGTTTTTGTTTTTATGAGATGGTTCACTTTAGAGGTTAATTTGGATGGGAAGTTGTTGTTGTTCATCACATGTTTTAAGTGATGTTTACATGTATTTACAGGCGAGGAATATCAAACGTCTGGCTTTACAAGTACAGAAGACAACAATATCCAGTCGTGCATCAGCAACAGGTTTGCACAGTGTGACTTCCAATTAAATTACAGGTTTATGGTTCCATTTATTGATTTAACTGGGATGTTTTCTGTGGTCATTCAAAGGTCAGATGACTCCAGTGAGAGAGAGGAGAAAGTTACATCCCGCTGCTTCAGGAAACGTCACAGGAAACACAGAACGGAGATTGAAGACATGAAGAAAAGAAGGGAAACATGTAGAAAAGAGAGAATGAGAAGAAATGCTCCTGTCGATTTTGACCACAAGAGCTTCTCAACACCGGACCGTTTATCCCAAACCCGGCAGATCTCTCAAACTCCAGATTTCCATGTGTGGGAATGTCCTCAGGATGTAGGTGCTTCCCGTTTACGTCTTCACAGGCTGGAAGTTGACTCACCTTCTACCATTGAGTCTCGCAGCTCGATATCTAGCGGTGTGGAACCAAACTTTGACTCTGAGTTTATTTACGCTGAGAGCATCAAGGGATGCGACTCTTCTTGTTACACTACTCCAGTGGACTGTAATACTCCCAATACCCTTGTCAAAACTGATATATGCAATGAACAAGACCCTGTATCTGTCTTAAAATGCTTCGACAAAGAATCTGAAGGCTCGGATTGTGATTTGTACGTCTCGAGTAACGTGCCTGGTTGCAGTATAGAAGCTACAGCAGGTTCTGGATATTCCTGCTATACTTCCAGGTTGAAAGCTGATCGTTTTAGGTCTTTCATAGATGATTTTGACTTTAATTCGACTTGTATTTACACGGACTGGGACAGGAGAGCCGGCAGCACAGAAACCGCCCACCGTTGCAGTCTAATCGAGGCGGAGTGGGGTTCAGCTTCATCTAGATGGAGCTACAGCTCTGAGAGTTCATGCTACACCACAGACTGTAACACAGACATACAAACAAGCAGCTCAGATTCAGACAGCTGTGGTTTAGAGGGTCTTGGTGACATAAGATTCCCAGACGGATGCCCTGAAGTGTTTTTGCCAGGTTGTTTTGATGCCCTAGGTGCATTTAAAGACATCTGCATTGACACAGAGAGCAATTCAGAGTCTTCCATTTCAAGGTTTTGCTCTAAACTGGAAACAGGGGAACTGTGGGGCGTTGTGACTCAAACGGACCGTTGGCATTTCTCTGAATTTTTCGGTAAAATGGTTAAAGAAGTAACACAGGAGAAAGACACAGAGAAAGTGAATGTAAACGAGGGGTTTCTGTTCCACCCTAAGCAGGTGTGTGACTAAAGACATAAACACAGCTTGACAATACACATGATACAAATGTGAATATTTATACTGTATATGTAGGCTACAAAAAGTGGGCAAAATAATAAGGTATTTCCTGATATTAGATATTTAATTGTCCATTCTCATTTAGATATTTGCCATATAAAACTCACTTAAAGTTAATCTTTAATTGATGTTTTTTTTATTTAGACAAAGCAAAAAAAAATATTTCCAGATATTTTTAATATTTCAAACTATACAAGAAATATATTGTAGTGCTGTCAAATCAATTTATCGCAGTTAATCGCATCTAACATAAAGGTTTGTGTTCATATAATGTGTGTGTATATGTACACACACACACACACACACACATATATATAAACAAACTTATGCAATGAATTGATTTAAGTATATATATAAATATATATTATTTATATATAAAACATTTACAGACAAATTTACTTGTCTATATATATACAAACATTTTTTAGATGCGATTAATCGATTTGACAGCCCTAATATATTGCTAATATACATTTTAAAATATATTTACATAAATATATTGCATTTGTGTATTTTAGGACTGGAAATGTATTATCTTTCCCATTGTAGTACATTTTGTTAAAGTATTATATCCAATTATATATAGCCTATGTATACAGTATATTTCATATATATATATACACTCACCTAAAGGATTATTAGGAACACCTGTTCAATTTCTCATTAATGCAATTATCCAATCAACCAATCACATGACAGTTGCTTCAATGCATTTAGGGGTGTGGTCCTGGTCAAGACAATCTCCTGAACTCCAAACTGAATGTCAGAATGGGAAAGAAAGGTGATTTAAGCAATTTTGAGCGTGGCATGGTTGTTGGTGCCAGACGGGCCGGTCTGAGTATTTCACAATCTGCTCAGTTACTGGGATTTTCACGCACAACCATTTCTAGGGTTTACAAAGAATGGTGTGAAAAGGGAAAAACATCCAGTATGCGGCAGTCCTGTGGGCGGAAATGCCTTGTTGATGCTAGAGGTCAGAGGAGAATGGGCCAACTGATTCAAGCTGATAGAAGAGCAACTTTGACTGAAATAACCACTCGTTACAACCGAGGTATGCAGCAAAGCATTTGTGAAGCCACAACACGCACAACCTTGAGGCGGATGGGCTACAACAGCAGAAGACCCCACCGGGTACCACTCATCTCCACTACAAATAGGAAAAAGAGGCTACAATTTGCAAGAGCTCACCAAAATTGGACAGTTGAAGACTGGAAAAATGTTGCCTGGTCTGATGAGTCTCGATTTCTGTTGAGACCTTCAGATGGTAGAGTCAGAATTTGGCGTAAACCGAATGAGAACATGGATCCATCATGCCTTGTTACCACTGTGCAGGCTGGTGGTGGTGGTGTAATGGTGTGGGGTATGATTTCTTGGCACACTTTAGGCCCCTTAGTGCCAATTGGGCATCGTTTAAATGCCAAGGCCTACCTGAGCATTGTTTCTGACCATGTCCATCCCTTTATGGCCACCATGTACCCATCCTCTGATGGCTACTTCCAGCAGGATAATGCACCATGTCACAAAGCTCGAATCATTTCAAATTGGTTTCTTGAACATGACAATGAGTTCACTGTACTAAAGTGGCCCCCAGTGTCACCAGATCTCAACCCAATAGAGCATCTTTGGGATGTGGTTGAACGGGAGCTTCGTGCCCTGGATGTGCATCCCACAAATCTCCATCAACTGCAAGATGCTATCCTATCAATATGGGCCAACATTTCTAAAGAATGCTTTCAGCACCTTGTTAAATCAATGCCACGTAGAATTAAGGCAGTTCTGAAGGCGAAAGGGGGTAAAACACAGTATTAGTATGGTGTTCCTAATAATCCTTTAGGTGAGTGTATATATATATATATATATATATATATATAAAATAATTTTAATATCAGCCCTTTATCAGTCATAACGTGAATATTTTATTATCAGTTCCTCCCACATTCTATGACCAGCAATTTCAAAACAATACAATTCTGATCATTTTGGGCAATAAGATAAACTTTTTGTTCATACATTTCATTATTCATATTTTTCAGCAACAACTCATACAGTTATTTACAGCAGTTTTCATGATGCTCATTATTTCTTAGTTCCTCCAGGTGAAAAACTCAGAATATCGAGAGGGTCGTGAATACTCACTTCTCCGCCACATTCAAAACGGGTCTTATGGAGACGTCTTCAGCATCCGCGACAAACAAACAGGATTTACATGTGCCGCCAAGAGGGTAAATAATATCCATTCCTGCCTCATATATTAAAATACACTCTTAAGAACCTTTGGAGAACCTTAAATATCCATAGAACCTTTGTATTCCACAAAAGGTTCTTTAGAATTTTCCACTGTTCTTCAAACTAAGAAAAAATGGTTCTTTATAGAACTGTTCACTGGAAGGATCTTTGGGGAACCAAAGATGGTTTTTCTATGGCATTTCTGTCAACATCCCCTTTATTTTTAAGAGTTTAAGCCTAAATATCTCTGAATATTCTTGATTGCATGTTCTAAGTTGTTTTTTAATTGTATGAACCATTTCCTGTGATTATTTCCTTACTGATCCAATGCATTGCTCTCTTGTGAAGATTCCCCTTTGTAGTTTTAGGTGGGAGGAAGTAGAAACATGGAGCAGGATGGAGTCTCCTCGTGTCCTCCAGCTGTATGGAGCCGTTAGAGAAGGACCCAATGTGATTCTCTTCATGGACCTGAAAAGAGGTGAGCACTTTTACCAGTGGAAGCCTCTAAGAAGCAAGTCAAGTCATATTTGAGCCAATCAATTCTCTCTCTCTCTCTCTCTCTCTCTCTCTAGGTTCTTTAGCTCAGCTGCTGAGAGTGAGGGGTCGTCTCTCTGAAGATCTGGCTCTGTATTATCATGCTCAGGTTCTGCAGGCTCTCGAACACCTGCACAACAGACGTGTCGTACACCTTGATGTGAAAGGTTTGTGGCACGGTCATGGTTATGGATTTTCAGTAAAGGAATTCACTGATTGGTGCTCTGATATCATTCTTGTACGTAGTTGACAACGTGTTGCTGTCCGAGGATGGCAGACGGTGTTTTCTGTGTGATTTCGGGCTCTCTGAGACACTCAATCAGGGCGGATACAGCATTAAAACCTTCAGAGGTGACTACACACACACACACATACACACCGGCATGCATCCATGCCTACTGATAAAGAATAATAGATATAGTGTGTGTGGTGTGTGCAGGAAACATCCTGCGTGGCACGGAGTCTCATATGCCTCCAGAGGTGGCGCGGGGCGACCCTCGCTCTGCTAAAGCTGACGTCTGGAGCAGCTGCTGTATGTTACTGCACATGCTCAGTGGACATCAGCCCTGGACACGATTCTATCCGCATCCACTCTATCTGAAGGTGAAGAGAGCATGCAGTCTGTGTGTGTGTGTGTGTTGCCTCGAAAGCAAGTCACCTAATTAGACAATACCAGTCAAAAGTAACCCACCTCCTTATTCTTAATTATGACCATTTTCTACTTTTTAGAAAAATAGTAAAGTCACCAAAACAAAAAAATAACATATGTACTTATTATTTACATATCTACAGTGTAGTTACTTATCTACAGTATTAACATTATATTAACACATATAAATATGCATTATATATATATTACATTTATAAATATATATATATATATATTTGTACACAAATGCACAAACCTTATTTTTACACATTTAAGCATAAGATTTGGATGAAAATATGTGTAAGATTAAAAACAAACAAATATTTCAACTAAAATTCTGTTCAGATTTGTGTATATATTGTATGTATATATATTTTCAGACATTTTTATATTATATTTAAAACTAACATATTTTAAAATATGTTTACAAAAAAAATACTTTTGGCACGAAAACAAATTTCAATTTGAATTTCAATGATTACAACATATATTTAGCATTTATGTGCATAACATTTTGGCCAGAAATATATATTTAAAATGTCAATGTATTTAATAAAATAACTTATATCTGTTATTTATTGATTATTTATTGATTGTATTCATAACATGAAAATTTTATTATCATTGCATCCACAGTTTTAACCAAATTTCAAATTCACACATTTAAAGGGTTAGTTCACCCAAAAATTAAAATTCTGTCAGTAATTACTCGCCCTCGCTACGTCAGAACGTAGGCTCACTATTGGCCAGCATCACACTCATGACCAGCATCGGCCAATAGTTAGCCTACGTTCTGAGGTAGCGCTGCGCTGTTACACTATGTGAACTCACTCTTGAGGCCCACATAGAAGAAAACGAATAGTTGATTAAAGTGTTTTTTTTCCGCACAAAACTTATTCTCGTTGCTTGATGAACTTAGGGTTGAGCCACTGTAGTCACTTGGACTATTTTAACAATGTTTTTACTAACTTTCTGAGTCGGCAGGTTTCAATTACAATAGAAGCCTATGGAGGAGCGAGACAGCTTTCAGATTTAATAAAAAATATCTTAATTTGTGTTCCGAAGATGAACGAAAGTCTTACGGGGTGGCTGAGTAATTACTGACAGAATTTTCATTTTTGGGTGAACTTACCCTTTAAGCATAAGATTTAGATCGATATATGTTTAAGATTGTGATAAACATAAATTCAGTCAAAACTCAAATTGATTAGTGCAAATGAGTAATGTCTGTGTGTTTTCTTGACTTTTGGTGTTTTGACATGCTGTCTGTGTAACTATATTGAAATGTGCTATGATTATCAGATCGTCAGTGAGCCGCCTCCTTTATGTGAGATCCCACCTGACTGTGACCCCCTGACCTGTGATGTCATCAGAGGGGGACTGGCTAAGGAGCCGGGAGAGAGACACTCAGCATCCCAACTGCTGCACAAAACTGTTAAAGCACTCAGAACAGGTTCAAAATGTTTTGATCAAATATGTATAATATAAATATGTCATGTCAACCTATTAACGTGCACTACTGTTAAACTTTTTGGGGTTGGTAAGATTTTTAAAATGTTTATAAAATAAGTTTCTGATGCTGAATTTATTTGATCAGAAATACAGTAATAACAGTAATACTGTGAAATATCATTTCAATTTAAAATAACAGTTTTTTTATTTGAATATACCTTAAAGTCGGCATGAAACGGAAGTTGAGATTGTCATTTTTTCCTTGTTGTGACGTATATCCGAGTGAAACGGCTTCTGAAATTAGAAAAAAAAAATGTAGGGCGGGGCTTGATTTCACCCTTCGGGAATTGATTGGATCGTTGGAGGTTGGGCGTTGCAAACAAAATGGAGGCAGATTTGAATGCCAGTTTACATTCAGTTGTGGAGGATGTCTCTCCACGAGGACGAGCAGCTAAATTTTCAGGCAGGAATCAGCCCATATTTATACGAGCAGGTTCTCTGAGAGTCGGTGCACCGATAGCCACACCCTCATCGGCTCTGGCCGCACCCTTTCGCCATGGCATGTGACCGAAAGAGAAGAGAGGTCGTTTCGAGGGGGGAGGGAAGGGTAATGTTTTTGATTAAAGATTATAAGGGTACATGAATTTAAAAAAAATAATGAAGTGCACAGATAAATCATTTATAATAAACACTACAATATTACATATAAAAAGAAGATTTGTCAAATTTGATTTCATGCCGACTTTAAAGGTGCAGTGTGTGATTTTTAGCGGCATCTAGTGGTGAGCTTACAAATTGCAACCATCAAAAGTTACGGTGGCCGACCGCAAAGAGTAGCCAGTTAAAGCTGCAGTAGGGAGTTTTGAGAAAACGTTGACTTAGCCTGAAAATATGAACAAGCACAACTTACAGGTCCCACCCCCTTGCTCTCTGCTGCGCTACAGCCCTCCCTCCACAGCTCGTCCTCCACAGCGGAGCCTGTCGTGAACGCGCAGACTAGTAAACAGGGCCACCGATAACAGCGGATAAAAAGTTATATGGCACATTCACTAATAGGGACTAAACGTCAATAATATGCTTTACATTGACTATGGCCTGCCCATACTTTGACTACAAACTTGGTCCTCAAATCATTATGTATTTTCCAATAGCCTACATGTAACTTTATAACGTTGCACTCTTTCTATAAGTTATAAATAGCTAGTAAGATAACGGTAACTAACGTTTCAGCATGTAAGTAATTATTCTAGCGATATATAATGCTAGATAAGGTGTGCTAGTACATTATTTCAGCAACATGACAAGCCAGTGAATTAGCAGGTTTCAATTGTTGCTTAGCAGAGTGCTTGACATTTTATCTACATGTTATGCGACTAGAGTTTTGACACCGAGTCAATGGGCTCTGTGTAATTCTTTCTTTTTCGCTTGTTTATCGTCATCAGTCTTTTTCCTTTTACCTCTTTGTTTTATGAGCAGGTGTCACTCGAGAATTGGCAGTTTAGGTTGTTTCTCCGTCATAAGCACAGCTGCAGCACGCCGGCAATCTTGAGTTTGAACGACGGCTCGGGCTCCGGCGCTCGCGCTCGCGCTGTGCAAGAGAGGGGTGTGATCAGCGCGTACACGAGCGTGACTGACACTGCTAAGACATTCCTCTCGGCTCTGATTGGTTGTTTCTGACCGGGTGCTCCAGCGGAGCTTGATTTTTACACAGATTATCTGTCTCATATTCTACTGTCAGGACATAATGACAGTTTTAGCAAATACATGTTTTCAAAAGTTACCTACAGGAGCTTTAAGCAATGAGGTTTCTTTACAAAGCTAAATAAAAAAATGATGTTTACTTTATTATTCAGGAAAACGATATGTTATTGTGAATATTATTGTTACTTGTTCATCATCGTGTCAGTGTTTTATTCGCTCTAGCTTCTTTGCATGAAGAACAACAAAGTGACGAAACGTGTTTGTCCGTTTAGGGCCACTGTAGAAACATGTCGGCGCAAAATGGCGCATTTCAATGTAAGGGGACCCGCGGTGTATGTAGATAGAAATGGCTCATTCTAAGTTAATAAAAACATAACGGTTCATTAAGTAAGGTCTTTATACACCACTGAAAACATAGTTATGTATACTATATTGCATTTCAGTCTACAGATCCTCCTAAATATTACACAATGCACCTTTAAAATGTAATTTATTCCTGTGACCAAAGCTGAATTTTCAGCATCATTACTCTAGTCTTCAGTGTCACATGATCCTTCAGAAATCATTCTAATATGATGATTTGCTGCTCAAGAAACAGTTGTGCTGCTTAATATTTTTGTGTAAACTGTGATGCTTTTTTTCAGGATTCTTTGATAAATAGAAAGTTCAAAAGAACAGCATTTATTTGATATAGAAATCGTTTGTAACATTTATAAATGTTTTTAATGTCACTTTTGATCAATTTAATGGGTCCTTGCTAAATAAAAGTATTAATTTAAAAATATCACCATCTTACCAACACCAAACTTAGAGAACAGTAGTACATTAAGCCCTTTATTTTCTGCACATTTAGTATGTGGGATCTCTGGGCCTGGAGGAGCATCCGAACAACATTCAGCCCCTCCATTCGAAGAGTCTTCTGTCCCATCCATCCCGAAAACTCCTGAATCTACCATGACAACAAGGCCTCCTAGCTTCCCAGAAGACCTCTCCGCACCCACAATCCACTGGGTGAGCACATGGAGACAGACGGCACCAAACGAGGATGATTCTGACTCGGAGGAAAGCCAGTGGGATGAGGATGCAGAAATGAACAAGCTAACAAGAGACAAGACGAGCAGCTGGATGGACAGATACTGGGGGGAGGAGGAAAAGAATGAGGAACAAAACTATTCAGACGATGACAGAGAACTTGAGTCTGATGAAGAGATTTGTGATAAAGATGCATCACAGATCCACGAAAATCTGACAGAGAATCAAACAGATCCTGAAGAAAGCAAAACTGATCATTTCATGGAAAAGAGAGATGTAATTGGAGGATGTGGTGAATATGATAGAAGTCTTTTAGAGGAATCAGAGAGCTGGGATGGAGAGATCCGAAGCTTTGTGGATGATGAAGAGGTGGAGAGTGATTTGGAGAGTCTTCGAGAGCTGGGAAGCGATTGCGCACAAGAGTGGGAACCGTTTCTACAGCTCCAGACACTTTATCGCCCGAGAGAAGCTCAACAGCTTAGCGAAGACAGCTACTCTGAGTCTGAAGAAGAGTCGGTCATGCTGAGGAAGAGTGGTGAGTGCTGGTTGTGTGTGAGCTTGATTTGATTCATTGTTTCCAGTTTGTACATACTTTTATAGAGTCAATTCTGTACTATTATAAAACGTTTGTTTGAGTTGTTCGACAGTTCACACAAAAATGACATTTCTGTCATCATTTACTCACCCTCATGTTGATCCAAACCTGTATGAGTTTCTTATTTGGAACAAAAAAAGAGGTTTAAAGCTGCTTTTCTTTGCCGTACAATGAAAGTGAATATGAACAGGGGCTGTCAAGCTCCAAAAAGGATAAAAAGTAGTAGTGCAAATGACTTTTGCGCTATATTTTAAAGGCCCATTCACACCAAGGTCAAGAACTGTAATGATAAAGAAGATATAGTTTTAGAAATCTTTCTAAATTTAAAAGAATAGCAGAATACACGCTACACCTATAACGATAACGACATCGTTGGAATTACTCTACAGCTGATGAACGATAAAAACATTGACGACAACCAATCAGAATCCATCCTGCTTTCAAGTGCTTGAGCATTTAAAGCTGCAGCGCACTCTTAAGAATAAACAGAATGATATCGTCCGCTGGTGTGGACGCTAATATAGTTATCGTTATAGCTATCTTTTATAGTTAACGTTCTTGGTTTGAAAGTTGCAAAGAAACAAAAGTTACAGATCTTTATTTCGTATTGTGACGTACAACCGAGTTTATTGAAAAAGAGAAAAATTGTAGGACGGGTCTTGGTTCTTTGCATTAGTTGTTGATTAGATTTTAGTTGTCAATTGTGGAGGGGTGGGGTTTAAACAGACTAAATGATTGGAAAAGTCTGGCACACAGCACCAAAGTCTGTTGTTACACCAGAAGATCAAGTAATAACATTCTGAATGTCCAAAAAAAAAAAAAAAAAAATATGCATAGATGAATTGTTAACAATCAGATCAATAACAAGCATTTAGAAAATGGTGATTTTAAGTGTCCAAAAGCTGCTTGGTTTGAAAGTGACTTCTGAGTTCTATGCATTGCTATGCCATTGACAATGGACCTGTTTTTGCTAATGTGTCCACACCTGAACAGTAACCTTTACCCCTCAGATCCGAGGTCACTGATTGGTTGGGAAGGAATTTTGATCTGTGAACATATCCTAGTTGCATAAATAACATTAAATCATCTGAGTAACTCGAGGACCATTATTGTGCCATATCGGATAGATAAGTTCATGGATCAACATCCTTGATCAACATAGACTCTTAAATATAAAAGTTCTTTATTGGCATCTATGGTTCCATAAAGAACCTTTAACTTTCATGGAAATTTTTAATTGAACAAAAGGTTATTTATAGAGGAAAAGGTTCTTTAGATTATTAAAATGTATAAAGAAAAGAATGGTTCTTTAAAGAACTGTTCACTGAAAGGTTCTTTTAAGCAACTGAAAATTATTCTTTTATGGCATCACTGTAAAAAAACCTTTTGGAAACTTTATTCTTACTGTTCAACATTTCCATCTAAACTGTAAAAATACTCTATTACAGTAAGTTGTAAATAAAACGAATATTATTGGAGTTTGTTTTACAATTGTTTTCATTTTTCTACTTCAAAATTTCCAGGTCACGCAATATGTTTCTTGCCGTTTCTTTCTTGTTATTATTTTTAAATTTATTAGTAATTTCTGAGTGAAAATTGATAGTTTTTTTCAGTATACTGTATAGTATTGGTATATAACCCCAACAATATAGTATAACAATATAGTATATAACCCCAGAGTAGGTTTGGGCTTAGTTCCTTGAATAGGTTCTTCATTTTCATCTGATTCCCAAGATTTTGCTTGTGTTTTACATACACCTTTGGAGCGTATCTGTGCCTCAAACACAGTGCATCAAACAACATATGTAGCGCAAATGTCCTGATTCAAAGTGAATCTTAAGCACTTTCTATGCAATGTTTGATGAGTTCTCTTTTATTCTCCACAGAACAAAAAAGCCCAAGTTCACCTGATTCTCATGGACTGCAACCTCTCACCTGCACCAGCCGCTGTGACTCTGAGCAAGATCTTAGTGAGGAGGTAAACATTGCAGACGTAATAATGTGTTTCATGAAGGTTATTGTGCCAGAGCATCAAATGAACCCCATGTTCTTGCTTTAAAGGACTCTGATGATTGTAGCTCAGGGGTTTTCTCCTCCTGCAGCACTGCAGATGATCAAAGCTTCAATGTTGATTGGTCTGTGTCGACTGATCAGACGCCTTCTTGCTACTTTGAAGGTAAGATTCATCAGTATAGTGCATTTTTAGGTGCTTATGTGTGTCATGTTAGTGTGTATTGGTGTGCGTGTGCAGGTCTTGGCGTGGATATATGGGTGGAAGACGTAAGTGGAGAAAGTTTAAAGATCAGAGAGAGGCCACAAGTGAAAATCGGACACATTGCTGTGGGAATCAGTGAACAGGTGAGATTTTTGTGAAATGTATGTATTTAAGATTCCATCACAAGTTGTCTTTTGTAGTATTTATCATGTTTTTATGAGCAATTTATTTTTTAGTAATTATAGAATCTGAGCATTGATCTGCATTTATGTCTGTGTCACAGATATCTTTGAGGACCTTCAGTTTGGCCACCCTGGATGGGCGGCTGGTGTCTCAGGACACAGAAGTGTGTGTATCGGGCATGTGGCTGCAGTGTGTCCCTGCTCCTGATGGCAGTCCCAGCTGGGATTGGAGGGTCAGAGATGGAAAACTAGAGATGCAAGAATATGATGAACATTCAGACACCTGTTCAACATTGCCACTCTAGCAAAAGTGACCACTACAAACAAACAGAACTGGAGTTGTTTACATCTCATTCTTTTCATTTGTAGCATTATGATGCCGACTTTATTTGTCACTCATGCATTTGTGTATTAACTTGTGTTGGATTGAATCCAATCCTAGTGTGTCAAATGATACAATTATTTTGGCGCAACTGTACAGGTACAATGTAAATTTGTTGTATTTATAGTTGTTGTTATGAAGAAAACACGGTTTGACTCTGTTATAGACAATATTAAAATATACACAAACACACCGTTTAAGAAAATACTCAATACTTTTACATAAAATACATATATTTTGTGCATGAAAACAAACGCTATTGCAGTGCTATGCAATGTTAACTAAGGCGTGTACTCTCTCACTACAACAATAGATCGGAAGTTCTTACTTCCTCATTTCCCAAATCCAACCGGATCTGTCGGTCTTTCTGATTGGAGCTCACTTCTAGAAGGCGGGATTCTGCATTGTTCTCCTTACTTGATTGGGCCGTTATATGTGGTGGGCGGGACCTGTCTAGCCGGTGCGTTGAGTTGCAACATACGCCATTTTGCATTGACAGCGGTTCGCTACAGCAGTGGAGACATAAAGCTCGAGAAGCCCCGGTTTAGAGGTGATTTTATTTCGCTGTCTTCATGATAATCATGTTCATTTATTGACGATTACGTTAAGCTTATTAGTCATATATTAATCCGTTTTCAAATGATTAAATTCGTCATTGAAGTACCAGCTGGTTGCTCTTATCTTGTATGTAGCTAGTCGGCTAATCTGCTAAAGATGATTGGTCCATAAAATCAGTTTGAGAAAAACACGCCTCAAATTTTATGTATTATAACTTAATTTTTACTGTCTGTAAAATCATCTTTAAATTGTTCGTGGTAAGTGTAGACGAAGCTAGCTATACTGCTATTATAACAGGGGTTGTCGCAATTAGAATATATTTGAAATATTATTATTAAATTAATCTTAGTTTTAAACCTTAAGTAATTGAATAAACCTTTGGATTAAATATGTACGCCTTGACAGTCTGTCACAATCTGTGTTTGTCCATTTTAGTAGACATTTATTCACAAAATGTGCTTTATATTTTATAATAAACAGCCTTTTAAATGACAGGCACATTTGTAAGTGTTATTGGAAATAATTCGCATCGCTTTGAAGCCTAGAGACTGTCTATCCCAGTTTCCAAGATAGATGATGTTTGTCCTTGTATACTTTGATTCATTAAAAAATAAAAATCTGTCGTATATTATCAGACAAGATTTTTTTCCTGTGAACTTTTATGAAAATGTATGACTGTTTGTTTGTATGTCATAAGACCTTGCATGAACATTATTACAGGGTATTGCTTTAAATAGGGCTTTTGAATTAAAGTCAAAGTACTGAAATGCATATAGTTCATGTATCTTGTGTGCTGTATAACCTCTTTTTTAAATAAAAAAATGTTTATCTCTTAATTTTGCAGTGTAAACTATGGGGAATGTCTTTTCAAACCTGTTTAAGGGTTTATTCGGGAAGAAGGAGATGAGAATTCTCATGGTTGGTCTTGATGCCGCCGGTAAAACCACCATCCTGTACAAACTCAAGCTGGGAGAAATAGTTACCACCATTCCCACTATCGGTACGGCTGAAGACGTCATCTGTTTTTACATCTGTTATTTGTTTTTGGCAGTGTTTGACGTCCTGATTTCTCACATTTTTCTCACAGTTTGACCTTGACTTGTGCATCATGTTGCACAAAACTCTCTCAACTCTCAACGTTGCTACTTTCACTCACATTATCTGCTGTGTTTTCCTGAATGTGTGTTGAATTTGTGTCTGTAATGCCCAAGCTTTATAGTTATTTTTTATTTTTTTTCATCTTTTCTCCTGCAGGTTTTAATGTAGAAACGGTAGAGTATAAGAATATCAGTTTCACGGTTTGGGATGTTGGTGGCCAAGATAAAATCAGGCCACTTTGGAGGCACTACTTCCAGAACACTCAAGGTATGAGAGCTAAACACAATCAAAATGAGTGTATTTTGCTGTAAAAATGGACCGGCACAAATTTGCCTGAGAATTTAAAATGTTATAATATCATGTTTCAACAATTATTGTAATGATTTTCCTGATATTCCTGTTGGCAGGTCTGATCTTCGTAGTTGATAGTAATGACAGGGAACGAGTTAATGAAGCCAGGGAAGAGTTGACAAGAATGTTAGCTGAAGACGAGTTGCGTGATGCCGTTCTTCTCGTTTTTGCAAACAAACAGGTGAGCATCACTTATCTGCAGTATTGCCCATCTCTCCAGGACTCTTTGAAACAATATTACATGCAAATAATAAAAGCAACTAACCATATTGTCATGCATAGTCATGATGCTGAGATGCATTGACTTGTCTGCTTTAAAAGAGTGAAGAAAATGCTACCCTTTTTGTTGTTGGCATCAAAAGCATTATGTGCAATCAAACGCTACAGAATTTTGGCACAAATTCAACTGGTCAAATTCAGAAGCTTGTCCATTTGGACAGATGCCAACATGGGCAGGTTGCATGATATGATATTGTCATCTTAAAAAATGACATGTAGTAAATACAATCCTAACTACGTTAAAAACAGGTTAACCCTCAGAGACACAGCGTACATTTGTATAACGCAATTAAATAAATATAGTAGCAAATTAAACAATATCTAACTTAAATTAAAGAAAAAAAATAAAACACATCAATGTAGCTGATACAATTCTTAACACTTTTTGAACAAATGTATCGTTTTCGTTTTGCAAACTAAGTATTTGACATCTAATCGTTTTTTATTTCTATACGTCTAGTAGGGATGCACGATATAGGATTTTGGCCGATATTCGATATGCCGATATTTTCAGACTAATTTTGCCCGATACCGATATATTTGTGTTTTTTTTAAGTGCAAAAAAAGCTTATTAAAGCTTCTATTAAAGTTCTCAGTCAAGAGCAGTGAGTGATTTCATCTTTGTGTTTTGTTGTTTTATTAACATTAACGAGATAGTTCTCCCCAAAATTAAAATTGTCATCATTTACTCTCAAGTTTCTTTCTTCTGTTGAAATTATAAAAGTTATTTGGAAGAATGTGGCTAACCAAACAGTTGCTGTACTTCAGTGACTTCCATAGTATATTTAAGCACAAGAAAGAAATGAATACAGGTTTGGAACAACATTAGAGTGAGTAAATAATGACAGAATTTTTTATTTCTGGGTGCAGTATCTCTTTAAGTACAAGCGGCAGCATATTATACTGTCTCTTTAAGAACTGCACGCGACGCGTCTAATATACACGCATTTGACAAGCAGATTTTCTCTGTTTGCTTTCACTTTAGACATAACCAACTTTGTTTATGTAAACCGTGTGTGTATTTGACAGTATCAGCGCAATAAGACTCGAAAGATTAGTCCAGTATGCAGGCGCTGTGACAGGCTTTAGTTCCTGTGAGCGTCGGGTGTAACGCGCTCAGAAAAGCGCATGTTAGAACAGCGCATCAGCACGTGAATGACATGTTTACCTAGCAAGACTTTGACGCACATGCAAATAATGAACTTTTGTGAATTGCGGTGTCCCGTGACCGTGAGTGTAACTCTACCTCTGCGTTTACATGTGATGTGATGTGAATGTACGTCGCGTTGTACAGTATGTTGAGATGAAGGCGCCAGAATTGAACTGATAGAATGCACGATACTATGATTTTTCTTTAAAAGCAGATCGTGGAGACATTTTAATCGTCCACGATCAAAAACCGTGAGACGCACACCCCTAGTTGGAAGTTTAAGTTGCTGGCGCTCATGCTTCGTTCGCGTCACGTGCGCATAGGAAACACGCCACCCTATCGGCAAGGCTCATCGGCAGAAATATTCATATCGGCCGATGCCGATGATGGTCATTTTCAGCTTTTATCGGCCGATACCGATGTTGTTCCGATATCATCGTGCATCCCTAACGTCTAGTGATCTAGTTTCATATATATATATATGAGAATTTTGAACATACATACATTTTAGACCATTTTTGGGCAGTGCAATAGGGGTGAAACTCTTTTCTATAGTTTTCAGTGAATGATAAAAAAAAATTTATTCAAATGTTGTCAGGTGTTTTCTGTGCTTTTTCATCATCATTAGTGTCTCATTGACATCTTATTTAAATGAAATCAATATTATTACATTATATTTAGAATATGCTTTGATTTGAATATATATATTTTTACATCACAAAAGTGATGTCCGGAGGGGATAATTGTTTTTAAATGACTCTACAATTTTTATTAAACAATCAAAATACGAGGAAAATATTTTCTATTTTTTTTATATATATTTTAGTAACACTTTACAAAAGGTTCCGTTTAGTTAATGCGTTAACCAACAATGAGCCATATTTTGTTCCAGTACTTCTTAATCTTTAACATAAATAAAAATACAACTGTTCATTGTTAGTTCATTAGCTAATTTTAACAGATACAACTTTTGATTTTAATTATGTTTTATGAAATGTTGAGATTAACTGAGATTAATAAATGCTTTAGAAATATTTTTCATTGTTAGTTGATGTTAACTAATGTTAACAAATGAAACCTTATTATAAAGTGTTACTGATATTTATATATGAGGGAAGAACAAAACACTAAACTTGGTTAAGGTATTTATCTGACAAAATTATTTGTGAATAGTCAAAATACTGCTACAGGTTTTATTTTACTATATTATTCTTTTTTACAAAAAATTGTTATTATCATATGCATAGAAAAACAAAAAGCTCACAGGAAAAAGCATACCTACATTGACAACATAATCAGTTATTAATATTTTGTTGGTTCTCTCTTGGTTTTGCACGTTCATAATTTCTTTGTACGATAGTCCGGGCAAAAATTATTTTGGCACAATTTTGGCATGTTTCATTGTGTTATCACAAATAAAACAATTGACTCCAAGCACAACTACACAATATGCGTACAAAATCTTTGACACATTTTTTATAATATTTAAATAAAGGGTGAAGATGTACATTTTCCTAGGCTGGACATCACCTTTGGCTTTTACTGTATTATTTTCAAATACATTTGTGCGCTGAATTGTGGATACTTGGTGTTTACAAAGCCATTTCATGTTGATTTGACATGATTGATGCGTCTGTTGTGTGGTGGGCTTTGAATCTCTGATTGGATTTGTCTCCTCTCCGTCACAGGACCTTCCCAATGCCATGAACGCAGCTGAGATTACAGATAAACTGGGCCTTCACGCCCTCCGTCATCGTAACTGGTACATCCAGGCCACCTGCGCCACCAGTGGAGACGGGCTCTACGAGGGGCTGGACTGGCTCTCCAATCAGTTGAAAAATCAGAAATGAGCTAGTCTACAGCCTCCAAATCTGTGTGTGTGTGTTTGTTGTTGTGTGAATGGGTAGGTGTGTGTATGAGAGAGTGAGACACACACAGCTACAGTACTGACCCAGACTTTGACTGAACTCAGTATCCCATGTCCTCCCTCTCATTCATTTAGGTTTGGGCATTGCTGATTCAGACTGTGTTTGTGTGTGTGTGTGTGTGTGTGCATAGTGAAGCGTCCATCTTTAGTATGCACGTTAGCAAGAATGTATCGTTTCATGTGTGTATGAAGGCTTTTCTGTCTGTTTGCTTGGTTTGGGAATGACCCCTGGCGTGCCTTTTATACACACACATCTCCTCTTCTCGTTTCACCTCACAAACTGTAATACGACTCTTGTTGTTTTTGCTCCATACTGCACCACGCGTGGTTTTCACATGGCGAAGAAAGAACCAAGGTTGTCGGTAATGAACCGTTCACTGCGATAACCAGATAACCTCTCCTCCGCCAGTATTACAGGCCTGCTGATATACAACATGTACACTTTAGACATAGAGCTTTTAATTGAGATTAAAAACCTGCCCTGTATCTTTAGGAAAAAATGCATTGTAACCTGTATCAGGTGAGGATCGATTCGCTCAGATTCCCCCACCACCATCCTTGATCGTTCTTTTTGAGTCATTTGAAAATCAGGCTTGTTTTATTTTCGGCTCTTCAGGTCCACGTTTTAATTTGTGAATGTGTCCGAATGTGGGTAGTGGAGTTGTGGGCAGATCTCTGGTTTCCTACTGTACACTACCTGTTTCCAGCCGCCACTCAAACCCCGAGCACAATCACAGACTGCTGAACATTCCCCCTACCACCAAATTGTTGGATTTGATTTGAATTAAAAAACATCATATATTATATGCTTTGTTATGTTTATTACGTGACTCTTGTGTGGTGTAAAGACGTCAGGTTTCAGACTAAATTCTAGTATCCAGTGTCTAGAGTTGATCAAATTAAATTGTTGCTAGAATTGTTTTGTAGGTCAGAGGTTTCTTCTAAATCTAGGGTCTACAATAATGGTGTCCACCAATTTGTTTAATCTTTTAGAAGCTAACTACAGACAAAGATAGTGTTTTTTAATCAAAAGTAACAGTAAAGAAATTATTTATAATTTTACAAAGTTTGGAGTCTGTAAGATTTATGTTTTTGAAAGAAGTTTCTTATGCCCACCACGACTGTTTATTTGATCAGAAAAACAGTAATATTGTGAAATATTACAATTTCAAAAACTGTTTTCTATTTGAAAATATTTTAACGTAATTTATTCCTGTGATCAAAGCTGAATTTTCAGCCTCATTACTCCAGTCTTCAGTGTCACATGATCCTTCAGAAATCATTCTAATATGATTATTTAATTTCTTCTTATTAATGTTAAAAAATAGTTATTGAAAATTGTACCATGGTTTTAACAAAAATACTTAATAGCAATTAATAAAGTTGTGCTTGGCATTGGCCACAACCATCTAAATGGCTAGACAGAATTCGAGAGCTTCTTATATTGTTTAAATGAGATCCCATATTAAATTAATAGTAACAATAGCTGTAGTAACTATGGTAATTTGCTGGAAAATATGGTTACCATGGTACATTTTTCTAAGGATTTTTTTTAATAACAGATAGATAGATTTGTTGTCATTTTATTTTGTAAACTGAATTATTTTTAAGACATGATATATTTTAAAAAGAGCTCATGATATACAGCTGCCCATGAGAAAGGTAAGAATTTATTTATGATAAAACGGGTTTTGAACAGTATTATAATTTTGAAATTTATATTACATTTTCTTCATGACAGGTAAAAAATAATTTCGTAAACTAATCTATCCAGGTATAGAAATATTTTGTTAACTACAAATATTAATGCTCACTACAATTACATATTGTGCATTTAAAATATTTTCCTGGCTGGTTTGGAATGGAAATGTAATGAGTAACTTTTTCATCATATTTTCATTTTTTAATTTGAAATGATTGCTCAATGATTAACCTCCCCTATGACATGGCACTTAATGTGGGCCAAGGTGTGTCACTGAACACGTTTATGGATTTATGTTAGAGATGTTTTCTTCTAATTTCAGTAGACGACATACATCATTAAATAGAATTATTATTAATTTGCCTAAAGGACAACTTTCAAGGGATAGGCTAGTTCACTCAAAATGGTAATTCTCTAATAATTTAAACACCCTCATGTCGTTCAAACATGTATGACTTTATTTCGTCGAACACAGAAGATATTTTAAAGAATGTTTAATTTTGTCCATACAATAAAGCTCATTTCGTTACTCGCGCGCTGTGTGGAAAGTTTTGTGTGTGCGCGTGCCCATAAAGCTAAACTAAACTGAGCTCTGTTTCACGTATTCTTGCACTTGAGCTGACAAATTCACACAATTTTTTTTAAAGAAATAAAGTGAGTGTACTACAGAAGCGTATTGCATTCACTTGAAGAAAAAATCTACTCTGTTTTTTTCTGAATTAATGAGTTAATTATCTCAAAAACTCAGAAAATTGAGTTTTGAAAAATTCTCTCTAATTCTGAGATAATTAACTCGTTAATTCAGAAAAACTGAGCAAAAACTTTTTTTCCATGAAAAATTATCTTGTAATTCTGAGATAATTAACTCGTTAATTCAGAAAAACAGCAAAAACCTTTTTTCCATGAAAAATTATCTCGCAATTCTGAGATAATTAACTCATTAATTCAGAAAAACAGAGTAGATTTTTTTTCTTCAAGTGAATGCAAAACGCTTCTGTAGTATCCTAGCAAACATAGTAGGCTAGGTTAAGTCTAAGTGAACGTAAACGATAAATGAGATGTGTCATTATCAATCCTTAAAGTGACAGCAGCCATTCCTGCTGCTGTTTGTGTTTTTAATGTTAATCAAACAAAAAAGGACAAAGAAAAAAAGAATGTTGGTAACCACAGATAATTGATGGCAGCCATTGACTTCCATAGGAAAAAACGATGGAAGTCAATGGCCACGGTCAACTGTCTGTGATTACCAACATTCTTCAAAATATCTTCTTTCGTGTTCAACAGAAGAAAGAAACTCCTACAGGGTTGGAACAACATAAGGGAATAAGACATTTTAATGACTTTTAATTTTTGGGTGAATTATCCCTTTAAGTCACTGCATTGGCAGGTGTGGCAAAAAGTTAGTTTTAGGCCCTGTATACAGGTTTGGCTTGACATGAAGGTGAGTAAATGATGACAGAATGATAATTTTGGGTGAACTCTCTCTTTAAAAAAAAATCTGAAAGGAAATGACAAGAATCAAGTTGAAGCACCCTGTTACAAATGAGTAAGTAGAAGGACCAGCATGACCTCATCACCAACCTGTCTGTTAAGTGTGTGTAGGCATGAACTTTACCTGCCCTTCCTGCAGCTGTGTGTGTTCATGAGCTCCGCCCACGTGTGAGGTGTTTTCTGTTTTCACACGAAACTCGACGGGAGTAAAGAGGTGGTTCCTCTTGCCGGCTGGATGAAATACTCTACAAACACTAGCCTACAACTTCTGCTTGTCGCCGTAAACTGATACCAGAGTTCAATAGTACAACTACAACAACAACAAGTGGACAGTTTACATTTAGGTGAGCCTTTTACACGTGTATTTACTCTATTTTGTATTAGCTACACCATGTCAACAACTCCTCGGAACAGAAACCAAACTGTTAACCGTACAAGTCTCCGATTCATGATCTAAATTGTGACCCTGAGCTGTTCATAAATATATGTCCTTATTGTCCTAATTGTATATTCAAAGGTTAGTGAGAAGAATTATGTTTTGCTTGAGTTCTGATTACACAACTGCTACGCTTCAACGGTAGGCTACTTTATATTCCATGTCAAAGAATGACAGGGTTCATTCAATAAAAAATCATTTCTATGTCAAACTGTGGTTCAGTTTACGCAATAGCCTACATGGTACTTTTTAGTTAGTACGAATGCCATAAATGTTGATAAAGACTACTGTTTTTGACCATTAACCTAAAGCCTACATTAGAACAGTGAAAAGAATAGAGAAGACATAAAACCGATTAAATTGCTAATGAAAATCGCCAATTACTAAAGATGCAGTTTTATTACATAATATAGTAATACTTGTTCTTAAAATAATAATATTAGCGACTTTAATAGCCTAATATTAATGATAATGTTGAATAATATCCAATATGACATAGGCCTATTTAGTGGCCAAAAGAGATTTCTAGAGAGGATTGGTTTGGTGATTTGTTTTAAAGTTTGATGAAATCATCAAAATATGAGGAAAATATTTAATATTTTTTAAATATGAGGGAAGAACAAAACACTTGGTTAAGGTATTTATCTGACACATTTTTTGGGTAAACTACAGCTTCAGTTTTTATTACATTGATTACAACATAATCAGTTTCGTTCTCTCTTGTTTTTTGCATGTGTTCTTAAAGGTACAATATGTAAGAATTTTTTAAGAAAATATCCAAAAATCACATGCACAGTGTGATATATTTTCTGCAGTTGTGTACTTACAATAGTCCAAAAGTCTCCAAAGATTTTTTATTTCAGAGAAATTCCAATTTTAAATAAGTGGCCGTCCCGGAAAAAAATGTCGCCTGTCAATGACGCAATATCCACGCTATCCTCGGTTTCCGTTCATACTGCCATAGCCATGACGTAACCATGGCGACAGACATGGACAACTGCGTAGTGCGTAACGTTAGCGGCACGCAGTTCTTGTTTCTATCAAACATAGACCATGGCAAGCAGACTTTGGGACAAACAAGGAGAACTAAAATAAGGATCAATATCAGCGTGGCGTTTTTGAGATGCCGAGAGCTAGCGTCCGCGACTAACTTGGACTTCACGAGTCACGACTTGACAGCTTTATTAGACAGGTGAGCAAATGTACATAAAACAAATCAATGTTATATAACGTTAGCTCAACATGATGAAATGTTAGAATATGGTCAGTATGTTATTCTAATGTTGATCTAGCTTACTGCTAGTTTCGTATAGCAAACGAACTAACACGTAGTATAAAATTATAACTTTCAACACACATTTAAATGCCATTTAGTGTGATAGTGTAACGTTAGACCAAGTGAAGCAGCGCTGCGTTACCTCACAAGTTTATTTCGTCTAATAAACTGACCTGTGTGAGTAATCCAGCACTTGCGGGTAGTTCGGTAGAATTAAATGTCCTTATTCCTTTATATCCGCGGGACTCGCGTGTGATATCTGTCTCTTTAGCAATCGCGACCTGCTTCATACCACTGTAATGTTAAAAAACATGAATGTTTGCACTCATCCATAAACATTATTAGATCAATCAGCTTGACAGCAAGTCCCATCATTCAGCTCATCACTGCGTCATCAACCTACGCCTTTGTTATTGTTGGAAACTGCGCCCTCTTGTGGCGAAAACCTACATATTGTGCCTTTAATTTCTTTGTATGACAGCCTGGATAAAAACGATGCGTTATCGCAAATTAAACATTGACTCCAAGCATAACTACGCAATATGTTTACAAAATCTTTAACAAATTTTTAATAATTTGAATGAATGGTAAAGATGTCAATTTTCTCTTTGGCCATTACCGTAAAAAAAGAAAAGAAAAAAAAAAAGTTTTTGAAAACTGCTCTCGAATTTTGAGTATTATTTGTTTCAGGGTTGTTACACTGAATAACTGAACTGAGTAGTAATAATATTATTTAATTTTGTTTACTTTTTATTGATGGAAGCCAGTTTTTCTCATCCTTTGTCGAGCAATGCTACATTAAACGATATTATAGTCCTACTATAGGCTGTATTATACTTTTGAAACATCATTTTAGGTGACAAAACAACAGTTCAAAGCAGAATAAACAGGATCTTTGTTTGTCAGCGCATCATGCAGCGGACGGAGCGACAGGTGTGGAGCTCGCACTTTGCTTTCATTCCTCCAAGCTGTTGGCTTGTGCGCCACATTGACTTTGTTCAACATGCAACCTCTCTGAACTGCTAGTCTCCTGGTTTCTGATGCACGTTTAAGAGAAATCCACAAATCCTCTTTTCTCTTTGAGCATGAAAATGGGGTCTGTGTGGTTTACCACCTTTGTTTTTGGATGTAAGTAGAGCCCGCAGCTTTGTTAATGGACAATTGAGCCTTATTCGCCCGAGAGTGACATCACCCTTTTAATTTGACAGGTGCAAGATAGTTTTCGAGTGTGTTCGATACAGAAAAGAAAGGAATTGTGTGTAATGTGTGTAGTTGCATGAAGGTTAGAACGTGTGATCGGTTGATTTGCTTTTATATGTCAAAGCACTTTGCCTTGCTGAGAAGTGTGTCGACAAGCATTTGTTTATTATGGAGTGTGTGTTTGCTGGTTTAAGAGGTGAATGGTTGAGTTTCAGTGCCAGATTCCTGGTTCACAAGTTCTTGTGTGATCAGACAGTCAACAATTCTGTCTCCTTTAGCAACCGCCAATAAAAGACTAATAAGAAACCATTGTGAAAGGTGTAACCTAAACACTCGCTTACACATTATTGACACGTAATTGTTCTCTTGGTGTTCTTGGCTGAAAATCAGGTTCTGCCGTGTTGAATAAAGATCTATTTTGGGAAGGGAAAGTTAGTACGTTTTGTGAGTCTTGCAACACGTGGTTGGTGTATAGTAGCAGCAGTAGTACATGAATCACACCTGGAAGTGGTGAAGTGATCGTTCACTTGTGTTTGTGCTGTCTCTCTCTGCAGTGATGGAGAAAGACTGTAGCACAGAGGGGGAAGAGTTTATTAAGAGGTCAACGGCTGAGACGATGTCCAGTGATTCAGTGTCTGTCAAATGTTCTCCATCATCCCCAAACCTTCAGATGTCGACACCTCGATCGATCCCTCTGACCACGAGAAACGCCCACAGGTAACTTGTGGCACTTGGTGCTGATTGTATTGGTTGAAAATCTTTTTAAAAATACAAACTGACCTACAATAATAAAAAATAAAAAAACAGCAATGATGTAATTCTTATTTTTATAAATAACTTTATTTATATTTTACATACAATTTTTTATTTCATTGAATAATTTACTTTATTTATTATAATTTATGTTATTAAATATTATTTAAATAAATTCACATTTTTGTCATATAGTTGCAATAGTTTATAAACCGTTCCAAGTGTAATTTAAAGTTTAGATTGTGTCTAATTTATTAGACATATTATTGGTCTTATTGTGATTTTTTTTTTATATATATCTTTTGGTCTTTTCTTTTCTTTCCTTTTAAACTTGCAATAATAGTTTATAAGCAGTTTCAAGTCAAATTTAAAGTCAACATAAAATCAATATTGGCTTAATTATATATTTACTTGAGTATGTGTGTACACATTGCTGGTTTTTTATTTTATTTTATTACTGTGTCTAAAAGTAAACTCTTTCAAACAGTTCAAAGTTGCATTTAAATGTGTAATTCTGTTGATTTAATTTAGTTTAACATAAATTATTAGTTCATTTAGTATAAATTACTTTATTATATAATATAATTTATTTTATATTATTAAATTTAATTAATTTGAAACTATAGTAATAGTTTATAAGCAGTTCCTAGTTGAATTTAATGTCAACATGGAATCAAGATTGGCACAACTTACTTTTAGCAAACATTCTTGATCTTATTGTGAATGTTTATGTTATTTTATAACTAGCAATAGTGTCTAAACAGTTTCAAACAGTTCCAAGTTGATTTTAAAGATGCAATTTTGTTGATTTAATTTGTTTTTACACAAATAATGTTATTTAATTTAATATATATATATATATATATATTTACTTTTGTGTAATAGCTTATACGCATTCCAAGGTAAATTGAAAGTAATCCTGAAAGCAAGATTGACCCTGCTGGTCTTTTAACGACTTGCCTGTTATGAAAACAAAAACAAAATCCTGTTTCGGTGGTACTGTATATATGTCAGATCACGGTTCACGGCAATAAAATGTGTTGACATATTTGTGATGCTTTCTTCTTCTTCTTCTTCTTCCTGGTCTAGTGATTCTAGTTTTCCATCAAAAGAAGAATTTCGAGCTTCATCTGCACCTTTGATTCCCAATCCGTTTCCGGAGCTGTGCAGTCCGAAGCACTCCCCGGTGCAGACCGGATCTCTCGGCTATAAAGGCCCCACACATGTAAGTATGGCTGGATGCTGTAATCGGTGACACCCTTGGCAGGAATCATATTAGGTGCTGACAAGCGCTATGACACGCCATGGGGAAAAACAACGTGCATGTACACACGCTTAACTGGGCCTGGGAGTTGATAACCTTCTCAAGAAAAACTCAATCACTTTCTTTGTAACTGAAAAAAGTGAATGACCTTAAACAAATTGAAACATGGAATGTCAGATGCATTTGTTTGCATCTTAGTTCCTGACAGATTAATGATGAGCTTCTTGTGTATGTGTGTTCGAAGGTGATTCGGATTTTTGGGGACGCCAAACACAGTCGTTCGTTCTTGGTGTCATCTGAAGTGACAGCACGTATGGTTTGTCAGAAGTTAGCGCAGAGCATCCACTGTATGGACGAGGAGAGCTGGGCCCTCATAGAACATCACTCTGCTTTGGGCCTGGGTAAGATATACGAGGATGGTACTAAACAACAATGCAATTACTGATACACTTTCACTACTCTCCTGTGATCTTCCATAATTGAACTTAACATAAATAGTTTCATAATGCAGTGTAAAATGGCATCATTCACCTAGAAATGTTTCAATTGTAAAACAGTGGGTTGCTGCTTTGCATGCACTCTGTTGTTTGCATTCACTTGATTTTTCACTGCAAAATAAATGACCTTCTAGTGTTTTATTCATATGAATTCACATTCACATACATACCGTATATTCATTGCACGTTCATGACTCATTGTTTGGACAAAATCCACTAAATGCCATTTCAAATGCCAGCTTGTTTCTAAAGTGAAATACTGACATGTCTTATTGTGTTTTTGAATTGATTGATTCTTTGCTGAGAGAAATCTGGCCTAGGGCTGTTGTGTGGAAAATAGCACTGAAAGCAACCCAGCCAACATGTTATACAGGCTTTTATAATAGCTTTAGTTACGCTTTTGACAGGTGTTGGGTTTGATGAACCTTTCGTTTTAGAAATGACATTTTGTAATGTCTGATATCAATAAAGTTTATGTATGACAGTTTAATTGGTAAAAATGTGTTTAATAATTAATTTAATTTAATAATTCTAATATTAATAATATTAAAAGATTTTAGCTTTTTTTTTGTTCTAAATCCAGAGAATTTAAATACTATTTTAATTTAATAAAATTAACCATTTAACCAATTAACCATGTTTCTTAACATTTTATATAATTTGTTTGAATTTAATTTAAGAAATGTATTGAATTTTTAAAAATCAACCATCTGTTTCTTAATATTTATATAATTTTTGAATTCAGTTGAATTAGTTTTAATTCAATTAGTTTAAATTTCATTTAAACCATTTATTAATATTTTATATACTTTTTATTTGAATTTGTTTGAATTTCATTCAGGAAATGTATTGATTCATTTGAAAAATTAACCATTTGTTTTTCTCACACTAAAAGCTTAAATCGTGTCCTCCTTTATGAACTATTGTGTTCAAGGACCGTAGGTGATAGACAGACATAAATAAGTGCTATATGCTATTGTGAGTGTGTAGGAGCCTTTGCATTCACACTTGCATTGCGAATTGTTTTTTTTTCAGAACGCTGTCTGGAAGACCATGAGCGTGTGGTGAAGGTACAGTCATCCTGGCCTGAAAACAGCGACACTAAACTGATCTTCCGCAAAAACTACGCCAAGTACGAGTTCTTCAATAAACCTTCGGTATGAAGCCTCTTCATCATCACCCAGAAATTTGTCTAAAAAATATTCAACATTTAGCATGATAACATTCAGCATGATGCCATTTTAATGAAAGTACAATCACAATCCATTTTACTTCTACGATGTGACGCATTTCTGAGTGAAGATGGTCAAATAGAAAATATTAGTGTTTTTAAGTGTTTGTTCCCCCCCCCCCCCCCCCACCCCATTATGCAGTCATTTTTCCCAGAGCACATGATCTGTGATAGCGCTGATGTCACTAAAGGCACGACACCATCAAAGCGGGTGCAGGTATGAGGAATCTAGAGCTTTTAAAAACATCAAGTCTACATAAACATCTTCATTAAAACCAGTAAATGTCTGTCTCTCTTAAAGAATTTGTTGAACTGTGGTACCTGTCCAGAGATTCAAGACTTTATCCGTGTGAGAGAGGGTTCGAAAAAATCCTGGAAGAAACTCTATTTTGTTTTACGACGGTCTGGACTGTACTGCTCCAACAAAGGGCAATCAAAGGTGCCGCACACAAACACAAACGCGGCGCTCTATTTGAAAAATGACTTCAGTATAGTGTATATATACACATAAACATGCATATCAAATTTGGATGCATATGTATGTTTGCAGGACCCTCGACACCTGCAGTTTGTCGGAGATCTGCAAGATCTGGATGTGTTTACAGTCTTCAATGGCCGTAAACTTTACGGGGCTCCAGAACCATACGTCTTCTGCATTAAAGTAAGCAGCAGGAACAGAGAATCAGTGTCGTTTTAGCATCAGTTTTATAGAAGCATAGTATTTATTCATATCAAGTTTTTTTTACCTTTACATTTTTAGTGATTTTTTAGTATTTTAACTTAAGCTCATTTTATTTCAGTTAGGTTATTTTGTGTGAGTTTTTCATCTTATGTTCTATTATATCTTTGAATTAGCGAAAATGTTGATGTAATGAAAATGTTTTTAGTTTTAGGGAATTCACAGTGACCAATAAGAGATCATTAATCGCAGTAATTCATGCTAAAATGAAAGCGATTCATAAATAAAGAAATTTGTTTATAGTGCCCCTATTATGCTATTTTAAAGATTCCTAATTTTGTTTTGGAGGCTCCTACAATAATTTTACATGCATCCAAGGTAAAAAAAACACTTGAATTTTCTCATAATATACATTGCAGCATCAGCTCTTGTCTCAAAGTGTCTGAAATGGTCCAATAAAGGTTTCAGTCTCTCTAAACTCCTCCTTTCCAAGAGTCTGCTCTGCTCTGATTGGTCAGAGCTATAATAATTAGAATTAGCTTTACATAACAGCAATAGAATTCTATGGTATTTCCTCATGTAGACACTTGAATGAACATGTAAATGTGCATGTATTTGTTTGCTAGGCCTCAAAAGACAAGTTTCGCTGTCAGGATTTGAAGCTGATGTGTGCCGACAGTGAGCAGAGTCGGACGTGCTGGGTCACAGCCTTCAGATTGTTTAAGGTACATGAACATTGAACACACACAGACTCGCTAAGAATGTTCCGTCTGCAACCTTTAATGAAAGACATTTGAGTGAGTGTGTGTGTGTATGTGTTTTAGCATGGGAATCATCTCCAGTGTAATTACCAGCTCGTCCAGTCCAGCGCCCGTCTTCAGAGATTTCAAGACTCTAAGGTACAGTAAACATCCCTCAATCTCCATAAAAGCCTAGCCCTAAAAGTAATCCATACAACTTGTGCACTATATTCTGATATCATATGTTAGCTTGCCTTTGTTATTCACTGATCTTCCCTTCCAATCTTCATCACACGTGTTGTCTTCCTCCACTGTGTCATCATTAGTTTACAGACATGGAGTCGTCGATGGTTGCCATGGATTTTTCAGGGAAGAGCGGCGGACGAGTGATCCAGAACCCACACGAGGCCCAGAATGCAGAGCAGGAGGAAGGACACAACTGGCGGGTGTGTATGTGTATGTGCTCGAGGGAAATCCATTTTGTAAACTGAATTCATGCTAGACAGTGCTGAAACATGCTGTGAACACCTCCCAGATCAGTTGTTATGCATTTATAATAAGCAAGAGTTTGCATAATATTCGTGTGAGCACAGTTTTCTGTCCTGTGACGAAGTTTAAATAATAGAAAATATATATAATATATATTCTATTATATACAGTATATTCAGTAAATAATAGAATGTGTGCATATATCTCGGGTTGACTGGGACACGTTTTGCCATTGAGATGATGGGATAAAATTACACAATCATCCTGAATTCACCATATTCTCATGAATATATATATATACACTCACCTAAAGGATTATTAGGAACACCTGTTCAATTTCTCATTAATGCAATTATCTAATCAACCAATCACATAGCAGTTGCTTCAATTCATTTAGGGGTGTAGTCCGGGTCAAGACAATCTCCTGAACTCCAAACTGAATGTCAGAATGGGAAAGAAAGGTGATTTAAGCAATTTTGAGCGTGGCATGGTTGTTGGTGCCAGACGGGCCGGTCTGAGTATTTCACAATCTGCTCAGTTACTGGGATTTTCACGCACAACCATTTCTAGGGTTTACAAAGAATGGTGTGAAAAGGGAAAGACATCCAGTATGTGGCAGTCCTGTGAGCGAAAATGCCTTGTTGATGCTAGAGGTCAGAGGAGAATGGGCCGACTGATTCAAGCTGATAGAAGAGCAACTTTGACTGAAATAACCACTCGTTACAACCGAGGTATGCAGCAAAGCATTTGTAAAGCCACAACACACACAACCTTGAGGCGGATGGGCTACAACAGCAGAAGACCCCACCGGGTACCACTCATCTCCACTACAAATAGGAAAAAGAGACTACAATTTGCAAGAGCTCACCAAAATTGGACAGTTGAAGACTGGAAAAATGTTGCCTGGTCTGATGAGTCTCGATTTCTGTTGAGACATTCAGATGGTAGAGTCATAATTTGGCGTAAACAGAATGAGAACATGGGTCCATCATGCCTTGTTACCACTGTGCAGGCTGGTGGTGGTGGTGTAATGGTGTGGGGGATGTTTTCTTGGCACACTTTAGGCCCCTTAGTGCCAATTGGGCATCGTTTAAATGCCACGGCCTACCTGAGCATTGTTTCTGACCATGTCCATCCCTTTATGGCCACCATGTACCCATCCTCTGATGGCTACTTCCAGCAGGATAATGCACCATGTCACAAAGCTTGTATCATTTCAAATTGGTTTCTTGAACATGACAATGAGTTCACTGTACTAAAATGGCCCCCACAGTCACCAGATCTCAACCCAATAGAGCATCTTTGGGATGTGGTGGAACGGGAGCTTCGTGCCCTGGATGTGCATCCCACAAATCTCCATCAACTGCAAGATGCTATTCTATCAATATTGGCCAACATTTCTAAAGAATGCTTTCAGCACCTTGTTGAATCAATGCCACGTGGAATTAAGGCAGTTCTGAAGGCGAAAGGGGGTCAAACACAATATTAGTATGGTGTTCCTAATAATCCTTTAGGTGAGCGTGTGTATATATATATATATTAGGGCTGTCAAATGATTAATCGTGATTAATCACATCCAAAATAAAAGTTTTTTTTTTTACATAATATATGTGGGTGCACTGTGTATAATTATTTTGTATATATATATAAATACACACACATGCATTTATATTTAAGAAAAAAATATAATTTATATATAAAATATTTATATATAATAAATTATATATAAATCTATATACAGTATATACATGAAAATATTTCTTAAATATATACAAGCATGTGTGTGTATTTATATATATAAAATAATTATACACAATGCACCCACATATATTATGTAAAAAAAACTTTTATTTTGGATGTGATTAATCACGATTAATAATTTGACAGCCCTAATATATATATATATATATATATTTATATATATATATATATACTGTTTTTGGTGAGCATAATACTTAAAATATTTCAATGATTGAACGATAAAATATATCTTTCAAATGTTTAGGGTTGGTGAAATATTTTAATGTTTTTGAAAGAAGTCTCTTCTGCTCACTGTAAAAACAGTAATATTGTGAAATATTACCATTTAAAATAACTGTTTTCTATTCTATTTTATTGCATGTGTTAACTTAAAATGTAATTTATGCCTGTGATTAAAGCTACATTTTTAGACATCATTACTCCAGTCAGAAATCATTCTAATATGCTGATTTGCTGCTCAAGAAACATTTCTGATTATTATTATCGTTGAAAAAAAAGTTGTACTACTTCGTATTTTTGTGGAAACTGTGATAATTTTTTTTCCAGGATTCTTTGATGTATAGAAAAAAAAAATCTTTTGCAATTTGAAATATAAATCTTTTGTAACGGTTTAAATTTCTTTACTGTCACTTTTGATCGATTTAACCTTGCTGAACAATTTTTTTTTAGGTTAAAATGAAATTATTTATTAAATAAAAAATATATACAGTTAAAAATCAAACTGAGTTATTTAATTTCCAATAAATTATGAAAATTAAATGTAGACATTTTTCTTTAATGGTGTGTTTTTGTACTTCAGAAGAGAGAAGCGCTACGCCACAATTTACCCACCAAAGGTCACATTCCACATCTCAACGGTGCGTCTCACGTCAACATCGTGTTAAATTACAACATTTAAGCAACAAGAAAGAATCTCTCATTAGTCAAATCTTTCTGTATACGTGTGTGTGTATCTACAGAGGTTAATCGGGTTCAGCCGTGGTTCCATGGGGGCTTGTCTCGTGCTGAAGCTGAAAAGCTATTGGAGGAGCAGGGTCAGGTGGACGGGTAAGAATCATCTCGAGTTTTTTTGCTTATGTACGTTTGCACTGTAAAGTTGTATTTATATGGTTTTCTCCGTTCTCTGCAGGATGTTTTTGATTCGTGACAGTAACATGCACACTATGTGCTTTGTGTTGTCCTTGTGTTATAAAATGAAGACCAAACACTACATCATCGTTCCCGTAAGTCATTATTTCTCATTGTGCATCAGGTTTGCAAACATCTCTGTTTGGACAGTTGAAACTGTAGTTGCATACATGAGACCTCTTCATCTTGTTGTGTTTTTCTCTGTATCTCTGTAGTTGGTGGAGGAGGGAGGAATCGTATGCACTATGGATGAAGGCCTCACACTGTTTACGGATCTGCTGCAGTTGGTGGAGTTTTACCAGATCAACCGCGGCATCTTGCCTGTTTGTCTCAAACACCCCTGCACTCGCATTGCACTTTCTGAACCTAAAACTGAGACCTAACTGACCCAGAACCAGTTTCTGGACCATTAAAGTTTTCAGTTTATGACTCACAGTGGATGTCAGGACACTCCGCAGTGTTAATATTTATATTTTATATACTAATAATCACCTGTAGCGCACTTTTGGGTTTGTACGGGTCTTTAATGTCGGTTATTCAACCAAAAATACTCTAATAGTTTTTTGTACAGTTCGTTTACAAGCTATTTTGTATGCATCATCCTTTTATCCAGATCCTGGATTTTTTTTTGTTCTACACTGGAAAGTGCACAAGCACGTGGGAATTCCCTGCTCTTCCTTCCTTCAACACTAGGTGGCGCACTGGCGCTTTGAATAGCTGCACATGACGAGGCCTGTCGAGGACTTCTCAATTGTTCATTTATGCCATAAACATGCAGGGATATATTAATGCATCTTAGAAGTTGCAGAAGAAGAAAGCGTCAATGTAGCAGATTTATTTTTATTAATATTATTTTTATGTTTTTTTTTTTTGCTCAACACTGTGTAATTTATGGGTTCTTATTTTATAATACAGATATTTGAGATAATAGATGGCAGTTAATATTTGCTTTATTCTGTATTTTCTATTTGTTTTCTCTATTTTTATTGTTGTTTAGTACTTTTTCCAGATGGTTGACAGACAGTTGTGATTATTTGTATGTAGTTTAATTATGATCATGACCCCAAATTAAAGTAAAGATAAATAAGTAAATGAAGTGTTTGTGTTAACTTATTTGAGTAGTTTTAATTGTGTGTGTGTTTGTGGTCCTAGTAAACCCTATGTTATGGGGAATAAATGGACATATTTTGGTCCCCATGAGGAAAAGCTTTTAAATCATATTAAAATGATACAGTTCAGTGTACTGTATACAAATCATCGTCTATGGAAAGTCCCTGTAAAACATGGAAGCCCAATGTGTGTGTGTATGTTTTTTTTTTTCTGTATGCTTCAGTTAACTTGACCACCAATACATCAGTTGTCAGGTCTCCACTGTGTTGTTGCCATGGAGATTATTCCTTTCATATTCAAGTGAGGTCAACAGTCCAGGCTTAAGTATGTATAGGCTATATATGCTGTGAGTGATTTGCATGACTCGCTTACAATTAGATGGTAATTTATTCAAATGTAAATGGGGTGATCACCTCACTGTAGTTGTTGATGAATCATATATTAATGCTATATTATAAGGGTAAATAAAGAAGACAGTGATCAATCGGTCAGTCAGAGAAGGGCACATTATTCTGACAATATTAAATATCAATATAGGGTGAAAATGAATTGTAGAGTGTAATGCATGAAGTCAGTACTAGTAAAAATTAAAGAAAGTTATCTTATAATTTTCATTCCAATGATATTGTTAAATCAAGGTAATTTAATATCACAAAAAAATTATTTGCTATTGTTTATGATCAAATGTATTATATAATGTATTAATCCATTATAAAATAATGGCAAACAAACTGTGGCATGTAGGGATGTATTTATGGAAAACAATTCAAATGTTTTCCACATTGTTCATATTGAACAGCCATTATATTTGTTTGGCTTGTGACTTTTGTGTCCTCTCTGTATTTTGTCTTCCCCATCTTGCCGTAGCTCCACCATACCTACCGCACTCAACCGGTCAGTCACCTCTTTTACTTATTTATGAGGTATGATTTATTTAAGGTTGAACAATGTCCCCAAACTTGCATAAAAGCTTAATCTCCAACTTTTTACAATACACACTCACAAACACACACTTTTATCATACACACACATTAACAGTAACACACGGCAGACTCTAGCTTACCGTGGTGTTTACAAGGTGAAGCACTCCTGAAACTAGGCCACAGACTGAGAACAACACATGAAGCTCCTCGGAGTTTAATCTCCGTGCACTAAATGGGTTCAAATCAATTTCATTCGAGGAAGATCAGGAGTTAGATTAATTATTCCAATTAATTCTGAGATCTTATGATCATTTCTTTCCTTTCAAATTAAAATAAGCCTTAACTCAAAGGGAACTGGCCTCAGCTCTGATCTGTAATGCTGATCAGAAGCATTACATATTTCCTGTTTGTTTTAAGGATAAAATCAAGTGCATTTCTGGAGAGGTTGGTATTGTATGTAAATGGAATAGTTTGTCTCTCTTCTGAAGCTCATGACACATGACTCTGAGAGTTTAGAGTGACAGAAGTGGATTGAATTTCAGCTTCTGTTACGCACGTCTGTCCTGTCCAAAGTGCCTTTGCATGCCTGTGCATGCTACTATAAATTATTTTAGCAATTAAATTATAACATTTTATATATTTTTTATATAAAGTATTTAATTTATTTACAAAAGATGTATTTTGTATGTATTAATATATAATTCTATAATGTTTTAAACAATTTAAAAATATATTATTTTATAGAAGTAACTACTTAGATTGTGTATCATTTGTTTAATATAATTATTTCATTTTTTTTTTGAATATATTTATTTTAATCTATTTATTTAATTTGTATTTATTTAATTTTATATGATTAAAATATTAGTACTATTATATAATTCTATAATATATTTTAAATTAATTAAAAATATTGTTTATATAAATACTATTTGAATTTTTGGCAAGTATTTATGTTAATGTATTGATAAATAAAGATTAATAAACTGATACAGCAAACAAATATTTTATATAGATTACCGGTATATATTTGAGATAAATTACTTAAATACACTTGTTTCGATTCTGTTTTATTATTATCTTATAATAGATTATATATTATGATATTATTATATAAATAATTATACTTATTTTTTGTGCAGTATGTCATTAATCATTTGATTAGAGATGACCATTATCTTTATTCCAATTCTTCTCTCAATTTTTCTGTATAGCTCTTCAGTTCATGTAGTGTAGCTATCCTGCAATTATCCCTTATTTCCCCCTCTTCCTTCCATCAACCCTCCCCCTTCTTTCCTCGTGATGGTTCAATCCGTGAACCTGCTCAGCCTATATGTGTGTATTGCTTCACTGTACCTTTAAGAGGAGGAGGGGGTGCTGGTGGTGGTGTGGGGGTTTATATGAATATCAGATGAGCTCGGTTTGTGCCATGCGGACCTGCACACACACACACTCACACACCACGAAGGCTAGTGCAGACAATTCCAACTGAAGACACGGATCTGAGACAGAGAGAGAGAGAGAGAGAGATCAGGATGGGTGTTACAGGAGAAATGAAGGAGGACGAGGCTGCGTAAGACAGCTGAGAGACACTGAAAGATAAACCGAGGGTGGAGAGGACAGACAGCACAGCAGGTATGTGGCGTTGCATCACCGTTCTCCTGTAGGCTTAAAGAGGTCCATCTATTCCCATCATGAAGCAGTTCATGCTCAATTTACCTCCTGCTTCATTAACAAACAGCAAACTGTTCTGGCTTCACACTGACTGAGAGGTTTGTGTCCATGTTTTGTTCCCCCTAAAGGCTGAAGCTCCAGTTTTGATTGCATTTAAACAATCAATATTCATCAGGCACTTTCTGCTCTAGTGTTCACAGAGTCGGAAGGACAGACAGGCAGAGAGAGAGACAGATACTAGATGCATGTCTTGATGCATGGCTGCTGTGGATTTTAATGCACTGTAATGGACTCGAGCTATGTGAACTCCTGTAAGTGTGTGAGCGAATGCCGTCTCTCCATCATTTCACGGACTGCAGAGAGAGTGAGACCGCTGGAGAGACAGACGGGGAGAAAGACCCTCTTAAAGTGATCCGAGAGGGAAAAGTCCGTCCTCTGCAGGAAAATGAGATTTACGGGTCTGGGAATGATAGCTGACGGAACGGAGAGGCTTTTGAGGTGGAAGTAGATCTCTGGAAGTGTACAGTAGTTTGATTTGAGAGGTCAACATGGAAACATCATAGACATTAACCAATGAGATGGGAGGGGAAAACATATGATAGACTGAATAAAAAAAACAGGACAGGGGAAGGATATTGAGGAAGGCGATGACAGCAAAGGAGGTGGTGTGTAGAGAGAATTGAGGGATGAATGGATGAAGAGACGCGAGAAGAGACCTACGCATCACTCCATGATACATCGCCAAATAATATCAGGTTGCATAATCGCCCAAATGATCATATTGAATCTTTCCTGCTCCCTTTGCTGTATGGATTATACATTGATCGTTGCACATCACAGTGACAGTTAAAGGGTTAGTTCACTCAAAAATAACAAATCGGTCATCTTTTACTTCTGTTGAACACAAGTTATTTTGAAGAAGCTACATTGCACCCTCTTGGCTTTCATTGCATGGACAAAAAACAAACGCTGAGACATTTTTCTAAATATCTTTTGTGTTCCACAGAAGAAAGTCATACAGGTTTGGAACTACATTGAGTGCTACACTTCATTTTTTGGTAAACGATCCCTTTAAATCCATGAGGAAGGACCGTTTTATCCGAATACACCATCACTGAGATTTCAAAAGATCTGATTTGAATCATAACTAAATTACACATTGTACTATAGCAGACGAGGGTGAGGATGAGTAGGAAGGACAGAATCAATTCAGCCCTATAGTGGTTGTATCTCGCTCTCATTTTTACTTAAAGGGATAGTTCACCCAAAAATTTAAATTCTGTCATTAATTACTCTCCCTCATGTCGTTCCAAACTCATAAGACTTTCGTTCATCTTCAGAACACAAATGAAGATCTTTTTGATGAAATCTGAGAGCTTTCTGTCCCTCCATTGACAGCTAAGCAAGTTCCATTTTGACGCTTCAAACAGTTCATAAAGAGATTGTAAAACTAATCCATATGAATTGACTGATTTAATCCCAATTTATGACATTATTATACACTCACCTAAAGGATTATTAGGAACACCATACTAATACTGTGTTTGACCCCCTTTCGCCTACAGAACTGCCTTAATTCAACGTGGCATTGATTCAACAAGGTGCTGAAAGCATTCTTTAGAAATGTTGGCCAATATTGATAGAATAGCGTCTTGCAGTTGATGGAGATTTGTGGGATGCACATCCAGGGCACGAAGCTCCCGTTCCACCACATCCCAAAGATGCTCTTTTGGGTTGAGATCTGGTGTGACTGTGGGGGCCATTTTAGTACAGTGAACTCATTGTCATGTTCAAGAAACCAATTTGAAATGAGTCGAGCTTTGTGACATGGTGCATTATCCTGCTGGAAGTAGCCATCAGAGGATGGGTACATGGTGGCCATAAAGGGATGGACATGGTCAGAAACAATGCTCAGGTAGGCCGTGGCATTTAAACGATGCCCAATTGGCACTAAGGGGCCTAAAGTGTGCCAAGAAAACATCCCCCACACCATTACACCACCACCACCAGCCTGTACAGTGGTAACAAGGCATGACAAATCCATGTTCTCATTCTGTTTACGCCAAATTATGACTCTACCATCTGAATGTCTCAACAGAAATCGAGACTCATCAGACCAGGCAACATTTTTCCAGTCTTCAACTGTCCAATTTTGGTGAGCTCTTGCAAATTGTAGCCTCTTTTTCCTATTTGTAGTGGAGATGAGTGGTACCCGGTGGGTTCTTCTGCTGTTGTAGCCCATCCGCCTCAAGGTTGTGCGTGTTGTGGCTTCACAAATGCTTTGCTGCATACCTCGGTTGTAACGAGTGGTTATTTCAGTCAAAGTTGCTCTTCTATCAGCTTGAATCAGTCGGCCCATTCTCCTCTGACCTCTAGCATCAACAAGGCATTTTCGCCCACAGGACTGCCGCATACTGGATGTTTTTCCCTTTTCACACCATTCTTTGCAAACCCTAGAAATGGTTGTGCGTGAAAATCCCAGTAACTGAGCAGATTGTGAAATACTCAGACCGGCCCGTCTGGCACCAACAACCATGCCACGCTCAAAATTGCTTAAATCACCTTTCTTTCCCATTCTGACATTCAGTTTGGAGTTCAGGAGATTGTCTTGACCAGGACCACACCCCTAAATGCATTGAAGCAACTGCCATGTGATTGGTTGATTAGATAATTGCATTAATGAGAAATTGAACAGGTGTTCCTAATAATTCTTTAGGTGAGTGTATATTGTATATTAAAATGTCATAACTGGATCTTCAGTGAAATGACAGACTTCTCTCTGGTGACGTATGCCGAACTTCTCTAATCATTATCTGCTTAAACCTCACCCCTTTCTTACAATCGACCTCCATCCAGTCAACAATCAATTCATAGAACCAAGTCTTACATTCTTTTCTTTTCCGATAATGATCTGTCACTCACTATCCTTTATAATATTGCACCTTTAACACTATGCAAGCTCTATGAAATCAAAGAGCTTTATCAAAGCAAGCTCGATTTTATTCATTGTTGTGTTCTGAAATGTTTCAGCTCAGTTCATAAAGCAACATAAGTATGTGTTGCATTCTCAGTGTTGCCACAAGGGAAGCTACAGCGAGCATTAGTGGAAAACGATTGTCTTCTTCTACTGTATCTGTTCTCTTTTAGGAGAACGTTATGAAGAGAATCTTGTTAAGCAGGTTAGTTAAAACTTAGTTGAACTGTTGAAATGTTTATAGCACAATTGAGCTGAACTGAGAATGCCTTTTCCTGAGTTTAAATTATATTTGAGTTAAGCTTGCAAACAGGATACAGAATTTGAAATTAGGCTGCAGTTTGTTTGAAGGTTTATGGCCTGTAAAATAAGATAAACAGATAAAAATCAGATGGATGGATGGATAGATAGATAGATATGTTTGAAATGCCACCAATTCAAAATTTGTCTTGAAGTACACTTAAAGGATTAGTTCACCTCAAAATGAAAATTTCCTGATAATTTACTCACCCGAATGCCACCCAAGATGTTCATGTCTTTCTTTCTTCAGTGGAAAAGAAATTACGTTTTTTGAGGAAAACATTTCAGGATTTTTCTCCACACAATGAACTTCAACGGGAACCAAATTGTTGAAGTCCAAATCAATGCAGTTTCAAAGGGCTTTGAAGAGCTTCAAACGGCTCTGCACGATCCCAGCTGAGGAATAGGGTCTTATCTAGCGAAACGATCAGTAATTTTCGAAAAAAATAAAAATGTATACTTTTTAACCACAATTGTTCATCGTGTGTGGTCTGCGACGCGCCAGGCATTGCGTAATCCCATTGGAAAGGTCACGCTGGACGTAGGTGGAAGTACCGCCCCATTGTTTTAAACATCCAGGATACACACACGAAAGGACCATTTTAAACAATAAACTGACACAAAGACATACATATGTCATTCAACATACAATAAAATTTGAACGATCCTTGAACGAAATTTGGACGAACGCGGTACGTCCAGCATGACCTTTCCAACGTGATTACGTAATGCCAGGCGCGTCACAGACCAGCACAAGATGAACAATTGTGGTTAAAAAGTATATACATTTAAAAAAGTTTTTAGAAAATGACTGATCGTTTCGCTAGATAAGACCCTATTCCTCAGCTGGGATCGTGCAGAGCCGTTTGAAGCTCTTCAAAGCCCTTTGAAACTGCATTGATTTGGATTTGGATTTGGTTACCGTTGAAGTCCATTGTGTGGAGAAAAATCCTGAAATGTTTTCCTCAAAAAACTTGATTTCTTTTCCACTGAAGAAAGAAAGACATGAACATCTTGGATGTCATTCGGGTGAGTAAATTATCAGGAAATTTTCATTTTGAGGTGAACTAATCCTTTGAATTCCCTGAATGCATTACTTATCTTGAAATGTTTGACTTTTTCTTTCATCTTTCTTGCGTAGAGTATATGTTTCTGGCCTAATATTAACAACTCGAATGAAACCATGCAGCAAAAAGTAGCAGTATGAAGAGTGAACTATATTAGAAAAATACTGTCTGTTTAATTGCACAAGTAATTTTGACCAACATTATTTTTGTGAAGTTGACTGCAGAAATTATATTAGTCAAACAATAAACACTACAAGTTCAGAATAAGGTAAAGAGAGTGTCATTGCTGCACGACTAGAGGCACCAAACTGAATTGTAAAAATAGGGATTGTTTCCAAACAGGTTTCTGAAAGTTGCACAGTCATGTTCACACTCTTTGGGAAAAACCAACCTACAAATGGCTGAATTGTTATTGCATGTTAAAAATGGGATATGAGAAACTGTTTCACATTGCACACTTCAGCTTTAAGATCTTCCAATACAAACCATTAAGATGCAAATACGTGGCAGAGGCCGATGATGGAAGTCTTGGTCGACTGCCATCATTAACATCTGTCTGAGTGTTTGCACTGTAATATTAGATCCTTAAATGCATCAAAATCCCTGAAGACTTTGCAGCT